ATTTTAGGATTTGCAATTGTGTATAATCTTTTGTCTCATATTGATAATATGTAAATGAGGTCACTAGGATGATGCAAGCAAATATCTGGTACACAGCATGCTTCAACACTGACTGCTGCACTGTTGCGTCTGCAGTGCAGCAGCTTTAACAATTGTAAGGAGTTGACTTGTACTGTGATCGGAGGAACTGATATCTATCTGTTCCCTCTGGTGTTCCCTTGACTGATATCATTGGAACTTGTGCCAGACATGTGACTTGTTGTTCAGAGTATAGAGAGACTTTGTATCAGGTTCCATATCTGGTTCTTATTTAAAGTTTGTTAAATAATAAAAATACAAAGGCACATAACTTATCAACCTGGCCTTGTTTCTTGTTATAATCCTTCTTCTTAATTATAGCCTTGAACCACCAACCTGGCTTTGTTTCTTATTGTATTTCCTAACTCATCAAGCTTATTTTTGAACACCCATATGGTTCCAATAACAGTTTTATCTGAAGGTCGGGGAACCAGGTGTCACACACTAGTCCTTTCAAATTGATGGAGTTCTTCCTGCATAGCAGCAATCCAGTCAGCATATTTCAAAGCTTCCTTGATATTCTTGGGCTCAATTTGAGACAGGAAAGCTGAGAAAGCAAACATGCTTTTTATCTTTAATCTAGTCTGAATTCCTGAATCAAGAGGGGTGATTACATTCTGGAGAGGATGTGAGCTTTTGTGCTTCCAGTTAGACACATGAGTCTCATGGTGAGAAGAACCAGGTTCCGCCGTTTGGGATCCATCATTAGCATCCACGGAAGTGTGAGTTCCACTTCTCTACTCAACATCAGGATTACCTTAAACAACATCAACAACTCTATTTTCTGCTTCAGTTGCTGTATTGGAGGGGCCAGGTTCCTCTAAATTAGCTAGAGGTTCTTATGCATCTTCTTCACTAGACTTCTTGACCTGACTCATCAGATCTGCCTTCCCGTTTGCCATATCAATGACTTCTCCAGGAACCTTTGAATGCTCTCTCTCTTGATCATTCTTATGATGTGAATATTTCCCACTTGTGTGGTGTGATTCATCAAAGATTACATGTACACTTTCTTCTACACATTGAGTCCTTTTGTTGTAGACCTTGTATGCTTTGCTTTGTGAAGAATATCCAAGAAAAATCCCTTCATCACTTTTGGCATCAAATTTTTCCAGCGCTTCCTTACCATGATTGAGAACAAAATATTTGCAACCAAATGTTCTCAGGTAAGTCAGCTTGGGTTTTCTCCCATTTAGCAATTCATACTGGTCTTGTTTAGGAAGGACCTGATAATGCACTTGTTTATCATATAGCAAGCAGTGTCCACTGCCTCGGCCCAAAGGCTCTTTGGTATACTACTGCCAATTAGCATCATCCTTTCCATATCTTCAAGAGTCCTATTTTTTCTCTCCACAACACCATTTTGTTGGGGCGTTCTGGGAGCTGAAAAATTATGACTTATACCATTTTCAGCACAGAATTCGTCAAATTTTGCATTTTCTAACTCAGTACCATGATCAGATCTTATGCTTACAACATTATGGCCCATATTCACTTGAATCTTCTTCACAAAGGCAGCAAAAACTGGAAAAGTTTCATCCTTGGTTCTGAGGAACAAGGTCCATGTGAATTTGGAGTAGTCATCTGCAATGACAAAGATGTACTTCTTTCCTCATCTGTTGGTCATCCTCATAGGTCCACACAGATCCATATGGAGAAGATCCAGTGGCCTTGAAGTGCTTACTTCCTTCTTTGGCTTGAAGGAGGACCTGACTTGCTTCCCTTTCACGCATGTATCATACACCTTGTGATCCTTGCACTTTGACTTTGGCAGCCCACGAACCAAGTCCTTCTTAAATAGTTTGTTTAACAAGGAGAAGCTTGCATGTCCCAATATTCTGTGCTAAAGTTCAACATCATCATCAGCAACACTCATGAAACATGTAAGATCCCTACTGTTTAGAGACTCAAAGTCAGCAACATAGATATTTTTGAATCTTTTCGCCACCAGAACCACTTCACTAGCTATAAGATTGGTGATTGTGCAAGATTTTGATAAGAACTCCACTTTGTTTCCTTTGTCGCAGATTTGAGAGACACTCAGCATGCTGTATTTCAGGCCATTCACATAATACACATTCTCAATTGAGTGAGTGGATGTCTTTCCAATTTTTCCAACTCCCAGAATGTATCCCTTTTTGCCATTGCCAAAGGACACACTCCCACCTTGCAGGGCTTTGAGTGAAAAGAAATCGTTAGTACTTCCAGTCATGTGTTTAGAGCAACCGCTATCCATGTATTATTTTTGGCTGCTTCCTTTCACTACTCCCTACACAAAGAAATCAGAGATTAGACCTAGGAACCAATTTGGGTGCCTTGTAATGAGGAAAAAGGCGAATTAAACTTCTTCTTGTCCAAGCAAGCATCACACATTTTTTATTGTAGGAACAAGGTTCCCTAGCAGTAGATACTTTTCAACAAAAACTTTATTTTTCTGTTGGGACTGAAACCTAGATTTACAGAAATCTTTGTAATGACAAGTGTTACCGCAGTGAGTGCAAATCCAGTTATCAGGTATAGTAACATACTTGCTATGTGGGTTGTAAAGAGCCTTTTCCTTTTAGAACCCAATTCCCTGCATGTTCCTCCCATTACTTTTATATGTGGAAGTGATTGTATCAGAGGAGCATGTCCACTTTAAAGATTTATCTAGGTCATTTTTAACTCTTAGATCTTCTTGAAGTTGTCTATTTCTTTCAAGTTTAGCACAAAGGCTCAATTTTACCTTTTTAAGTTCATTTTCAAGCATAAGGTCTGCCTCACTCGCCACTTCCTTTCCTTTTGAAGATTTCATGCAATTTTCTATTGAAGCTTTTACAGAAAGAGTGTCCCTTTTTAATTTCCCTATTTTTTCTTTCAGATCCACAACTACTACCAACAAGTCATATCTCTTATGTTCTACCTTTTTAATTTTCTCAATTAGAATATCCTTTTCATTCTTTAAATTCTTAATGGTTTCTTTTAAATTAACAACTATGACCAGTAAATCATCTCTCTCGTGCTCTACCTCTCCTAATTCCTCAGTTAAAATATTTTTATCATTGATAAGGTTATGGTAAGCATCAATCAAGACATTAGCTAAAGATACAAGCTTCTTTTGAGAGTAAGACTTCAAATTTCTTTGAACGTCTAGAAATTTTACCTCATCGTCATCATCATTAGATTTTGCCATCAGGACAAAAATGGAATCATATTCTGCTGCTTCGCTTTCAACAGCCATCATGGAGGTGTCGCCTTATTCATCATCGCCCTCAGATTCACTAGGGGAATCTCCCCATTCAGCAAGAGCTTGAATCACAACATTATTACTGGCATCTTTTCTCTTGAATTTTCTATCGGGAACCAAGTTCCTCTTTGTCGTCCTGTTTGTGTTGTGCTTGTAATGGTCCTGCTTGTGGAGAGGACAATCGTTGATGAAATGACCTGGATTCCCATATTTGTGACAACAATAATAGCCTTTGGTTCTGCTAGAGCTTCCCTTTTTGGAATACTTCCATTTCTGCGAACCATTTTCTGAAACCTTCGTATCGAATATGTCATGTTAGCATCATCACCACTTGAGTCACTGTTGTCTGCTTTGAGAACCAGGTTCTTCTCTTTTTTGGGTTCTCTTATTTCATGATCCTTCTTCTTCTTCTTCATTTCATAGGTGTTTAGATTTCTAATGAGTTCGTCAATCGTCAACTTTTGCATATTTTTTGCCTCTACGATAGCATTGACTTTGCTCTCCCAAGAATCAGGTAACACACTGAGTATTTTTCTGACCAGTTTGTTCCTTGGAATGATCTCTCCTAGAGAATGGAGCTCATTGATGATGGAAGTGAAGCGAGTATGCATGTCCTGAATAGACTCATCATCCTTCATCTTGAAGAGCTCATACTCAGTAGTGAGCATGTCGATCTTTGACTGCTTGACTTGAGTTGTTCGTTCAAGTGCTGTTTGGAGAGCCTACCAAATCTCCTTGGTAGATTGACAAGCTGATATTCTGTTGTACTCGTCTGGTCCAATACCACAAACGAGGATCTTCTTTGCTCGGAAGTTTTTCTCGATAGCTTTGCAATCGACATCATTGTACTCCTTCCTTGTCTTTGGGACTGTCACTGCTGTCTCACCAATGATCTTCATAGGGACGAAGGGTCCATCACAAATGATCTGAATCTTCAACCATGATAAAATCATGCATTCTTGTCTTCCACCAGCCATATTATTGTCCATTGAATCTTGGTGGTCTGTAGGTTGATTGACCTTCTTCAAAGTTTAGTGGAGCAGCCATGTAGATCATTTCTATGTGTTAGCCTTATAGAAAGAACCTTCTCTGATACCAATTAATGTAAAATAAGAGTCCACCAAACTGTATAGAGAACCCGGTACTCTATCAGTTCCCACAGAACATACACACAACGGTATGTAAATAGCACAATAGTATTTTACGGGAAAAACTCCCAGCTCACGGGATTAAATACTATGACCTACACTCATAGGATTTCAACTTCACTAATCGAGTAACTTTATATTAAAACCTATTGTAACCTAGAAATCACACTCTTAATCCCTTACCTACTTGCAATAACTCTATTACAAAGCTCACCACTTTGACTAACTCTAGTCAAACACTAACACAAAGTTTATGGTTTACAAAGATATCCTACGAAAATGCTTCTAACTAAGCTGAGTAGGAATTACAAGTGAATAACATTAACAAAGATACAACAATACTAAGAAAACACGATAAACTCAGTGTTGGGATTTGGTCCTTTGTTCTGTTGCTACTTTGTTCTTCATGCCTTGGAGTAAATGAAGGCGGTTGCACACTTGAGAGAAAATAATGTTTTAGGGTTTTCAAGTGTGTATAATCCCTTGCCTCATGTTGATAATATATAGGTGAGGTCACTAGGATGATACAATCAAGTATCTGGTACACATCATGTGTTAACAGTGATTGTTCTACTGTTGCGTCTGTTGTGCAACAGCTTTAACAACTCTAATGAGTTGACTTGTACCGTGACCGGAGGAACTGATATCCATTTGTTCCCTCTAGCATTCCCTTGACTGATATCATTGAAACTTGTGCCATACATGTGACTTGTTGTCCGAGCACAGAGAGGCTTTATATCAGGTTCCCTATCTGGTTCTCATATGAAGTTTGTTAAATTATCAAAACACAAAGGTACATAACTTATCGACTATGTCCTACATTATCCTTTCCCCCAATGCTTCTTTGGCCTGCCTCAAACTCTCCTCAAACTTGCCATGGTCAACCTCTCATACCTTCTCACTGGGTATCTGGGCACTCCTCTTCACATGCTCGAACATTCTCAGCCTCGCTTTCCGCATCTTATCCACCATGTAGGCTACTCCCACCTTATCCCGAATATCTTTATTTCTAATCTTATATCTGCTAGTATGCTCACACATCCATCTCAACAATCTCATTTTCACTATTTTCATCTTCTGGACATGAGAGTTCTTGACTGGCCAACACTTCGCCTCATGCAATATAGTCGATCTACCAACCACTCTATAGAACTTACCTTTAAGTTTTTGCAGCACATTTTTATCATACAAGACACCAGATGCAAGCCTCCATTTCATCCACCCCGCTCCAATACTATGTATGATGTCATTGTTGATTTTCCTATTACCTTGGATTATTGACCCGAGATACTTGAAACATTCACTCTTCTCGGTGACTTGTGTATCAAGCATCACTTCCATGCCAGCCTCATGAGTTACGCCACTAAATTTGTATTTCAAGTACTGTAGCTTAGTCCTACTCAACTTGAAACCCTTAGACTCCAGGCTCTGTCTCCAAACCTCAGCCTAGTGTTCACACCGTCTTGTGTCTCGTCAATCAGTGCAATATCATCTCCAAATAACATGTACCATGGCACTTCCCTTGAATGTGTCGTGTTAATTTATCCATTACCAAAGCAAATAAGAACGGGCTAAGAGTTGATCCCTAGTTCAACCTATTATCGAATCACAAGAATACTATTGGCAAATCTTGTAGGTAAATGCCAACTCGAAGAAATGCTAAGATGACAAGATAAAAAGAGTAAATTTATAAATTGATTGTGTAAATTTTTGCATAAATTTAGGTAATTTATAAGGTCATTACCAATAAATATTTATGATAATATGGTAGATCGGTAAAAATGATTGCTATAATGCTATAGTAGAATAAACTACACAGATCATACATGTAAAAATAAAGTACGTTGCCATTGCATATAACGTGGTTAATTTCTGAAAAACGCGGAGAAAATGTCACAATCTTGCAGAGACTTTGATTAAATCTACACTTATTAAAAAGATTATACGTACCCTAAGAAATTTTACTAGAAATTCGGCCAAAACAGATCGCGTCGGCCAAAAAACTGACCGAGTCGATCGGTTAATTAAAATATTTTATTTTTTAATTTTTTTTACGAAACCGACTGACTTTGGTCGGTTTTTT